TTTTTCAGGAAATGTTCAGACAATGATTTATAGTTTCCTCAATACTTTTATCAAATCTACATTTTCTCTTCATTCAGTGATTCATAACAGTCTTTACCAGACCCAGAGTTTTCAATGCCAATGTCTGGCGCAAAGACTCATATGTCACACACATGTGCCATGAACACAAACATACAGGTGAACCATACATACAACAAATAAATAAACCACTATCCATCTCTATTCAGAAAAGGAACATTCCTCCCATGTGCTTGCTCAAAGCATGACACATCAATTTGAAGAGGGGTGTAGATGGGAAAGGGAAGTGGGTGGGAAGAGAGGAGGGAGAAGAAACTGGTATGTAAAATAAATGAAAACATGTTATTTAAATAAAAATTCTGATGCCAAAAACCTTGGAAAAAGTAAATAAAGCTTTTAATTAAAGTCTCAGGGAAGATCTTGTGTAATAAATGCATAAGGGAGAATAGTTTAACAGGCTATTTTCATTTGTCAAAAAATTAATAACCTGAAAGTAATCAAGGAGAATGTAAAAAGGTGAGAGACATAACATTTGTGTGTAGACAGAAGTTCTGTCCCACCCAGTCGTACAGCCGTTCAGTCCCAAAGAAACACAGAGAATTTTATATAATAAAAACTGTCTGGCCTGTTAGCTCAAGCTTTTTATTAACTAGCTCTTACAACTTAGATTAACCCACAATTCTTGTTTATGTTTAACCATGACTTGGTACCTTTTCTCAGGAAAGCATTCTCATCTTGCTTCCTCTATATCTTGCTGGTGACTCTTTATTTTCCTCTTCCCAGTATTCCCTTAGTCCGGTCACCTTGGCTATTCTTCCTGCCTCTCTTCTAGCTTATCAGCATTTTATTAAACATATATGGGTCACAAACCTTTACAGTGTACAAGAGCATTATCCCACCAAGTTTCCCCCTTATTTTTCAAGTCAAAAACCCTGAATCTAATCTCCTTTGCTTAGCTTTTTTCCTGGCAATTATCCATAATAACTTCTAACCAACAGGCTAAACAAAGACAATCATACACAACCCATTTTGGAGGGCATAGTTTTCTAAGATACTCCCTGCTGATCAGGGGCACGGATAATCTTACAGGACCCATAGAAAATTTAGGATTATGGTCAAATCCTGACTGTAATATTCTATGAGACTGGATCATTGATGTCCACGTGTTACATTCACCTGATAATATACACATATGTATAAGAAAGAAATGATTTCTGACATCATTATCTTGGCTTCTGAAAGCATCCTTTAGCATCATTTCTGAAAACTGGGGCTAAAATTGAAAACAGAATATAAATGTGCCTGATGATATCAAGTTACATTGTTGTAATTCCCTTAAAGTAATTGCTAAAAATTTTATAATGCTGTGTCATGTATGTTTTAGTAACTATGCAAAATTTTGTTATACAAATAAATAATTAGATAATAGTCAGAGGAAATACTTTTGTCAACAAATAACATAGGCAAAAGTGTTATTTTAAACAATAACCTGAAGGCCATGGACAACCTTGAATCATTTATTTCTGTTCTAAATTAGAGAATATCTTTGTCACTCAATATATTTTATGGAATGGATTTAGTGGTTTGGGCAATATCCCTAACAGAGAAAGATTATTGGTATATAAAGCCAAGTTATTTTTTTTAAATACAAAAGGAATGAAGTAGGATTTCATAGGTAAAACATTTTATTCAAAGGGTCATCTTGTTAACCTGCAAAACTATTAGTAATGGACAGATGTTGCTGAACTACTAACAGTAAATGTATGAAGGCTTGTGCTCTGAGGTTGCCCATTATGAGGTTTCCTAACAGCTATTCTGTAAAATCTTTGTTACGAATACAGAAAATCCATTCCAAGCTAGATCAGTGTTCCACTTTGATTTTTATTCTTAGATCAAATATAACGGAAAGTATCCTGAATTCACAAGTTAATACAGCTCCAAATTTTTTAAAATGAATGACCTTTTTATTATCGTGTTTTAACACTGCAATTATATTCTTCATGAATGAACCCCAGAATTTTTCAAATAAAAAATATAATATATAACGCTAAATTTTTTTCCACATACTGACACACTTTAATTCATATCCAAAAGAATATGGCTTTAAAAATGTATTGTATTCTGAATACAACAAAAATCTTAGGATTACGGCAACCCTATCTTTCCACTTGGTCCCATAAACAATAATCAACCAAACTTTTAAATGAATTGTCAGATATCCTACAAATATGTCGTGTTTTACCCGTTGTTTTTGCATGACTCCAAGAATTATCTTTAGTTTATCAAAACTTTTATCAAACTTATTTAATTATCTAGCAAACTTTTAGTTTGAATGAGTGTGTAAGTGACACGTAGCAGATGGAAAAAAAGCAGCAGAAAGAGAAGTACTATTCGATAAAGAGGTGAAAACATCCAGGAGAGACTACTGGAGTAGCGAGATTGAGAGACTAAAGAAAAAAAGCAGTGCCAGCAAACCTGGATCTTACAAACATCCAGAAAAAACCGGCGTGGAAAGATGAGGCAATCAACAGGATTTTGCAATTTACTGTAGTAATCTGTGCAACCTGGAAACCAGAATTCATTATACATAAATGCGAAAAAGAGATCCATTATAGAGAGATGATCCTGAAATTGGTGAACTTTTTAAGGCCAAGAATACACATAGTGAGCCAGCAATGTGCATCGATTTGTTAGTCTGCAGCCCGGGTGCGAAGGTCTGAGGACCTATGCTTCTCTTTCCCCTACTTCAAAACCTGTCAGCCTAGGATATAGGGACACCTGTTTCCATTGTAGTCCTGAGATAGTTGTAGCATATTGTAGACAAATATCTAAAATATTTTTCCACTTCACAGTAGCAATTAAGCAAAGAGAGGGGGCGGGGGATTATATCCAGGTATATGACAGCGCTCCCCAGTCACATAACTTCTTTCCATGTCTATGCCTTTTAAAGTTTCTGTCGCTTCCCAAGGTTATCACATGTTTTTAACCAAGTTTTAAATTGCTGACCGTTGGAGGGCAAACTATATTCAAATTTGGGGAAGTCCAAAGGCAGAAGGAGAAATCAGAGAGTCTTCCGATGCTTAGGATTCTTTATCTCTTAATCAAACTGAGTGAGGCCAAGCCACATTTTGAGATCAATATGCTTATTCAGTCTTCCAATAGCAATGTTAATCTAATACTACATCATTGACATAGAAAAGTCTAGAATACTATTAGACCAAAGGGTACACTCAAATACAAAATTATTGTAACAGACAGATGAATTAAATCTACATCCCAGAATCATATATTTGTAGATTGCCCTTCATTCTCTTCACTAGAAATATATCTGTCTTTTGTAAGATTATACTTATGTGTAGGCTGAAGGTCAAAAGATGATATGCCTCAATTTGACTAGAGTAATCCTGGGTAACACCTATCTTCCCATGTAATTTTCTATGTTTCTGTGCTTGTTGATTAAATTACACCATAACCTTTGTCAACCACTCATTTGATAAATGAAATGTATCAACAAATTATATTTACATCATTTAATAAGTATAATGAATTTTTATATTTTTCAAATTAATGGTCCTTCCAGAGTCATTTTATAGAATTATAATTTACCATGATGCACAAGGAAAGTAATTTTGTAACCAGAATATTATTTTTACTGTATATATTTTTCATGTGATGGCAGGAACTGAATTCAGAACCTTGTATGTACTAAGCAATTGTTCCAATACTGATGTACATTCCCAGCACTGAAATCACTTCCTATCTTAAGCTGGACTTGAAGAAGACTCTTGTCTTTGCCTCTCATATTCTGAGATTATTATCATATATCTTTTCCTAATCCTGTCTTATATTTTTGGTTATTTAACTTGTATTGTCTTGTTTACAGGCTTGAGAAAGATTGCATTTGAAACATAAATAATTTCAACATGCAAGATCATCTACATAAATCATAGTTTGTTGTTTTATATTAGAGAAATTTCAATACTATATCTTTAAGGAAGATTAAATAACTTAAATATTTCAGGATTGATTAACGCTCCAAAGCAGAACACTAATATGATATCAGATTGGTTCCATTTTTCCATTAAGTCTAAGGGAAAGGGGAAAATGACAGTCTGAGAGGTCAAAGCTATTGTGTTCATTACACAGTCTATAGAGATAAGAGGGAAAGAACTAGGCCACTTAGTTCTATACAGACTATAAAGAAACCATTGTGCTTATATGGTCCCTCTATTCTTTAAATGTTATTTTCTATTTCCTCTATGAAATATGTACTTTCCTATTGATTAAAAGATAACAAGTACCATGTGATTTATATACCTAAAGGTCCTAGAGTTCTCTTGAATCTATTTTCATAAGGGTTGATTTTATTAAACAGAAACAATTACTATATTTTAAAAATTATATTGTTGCCATATGAAGCCAAATGCTACCTTTCAGAACTATTATAAATAGCTATTTGATGTGCTTTGTCCACTCTACTTTAAAGAAAGCAGCGTGTGCTCAGAGCTGCAGGGCTGTCTCTTCAAAAGGATTCTGTATAATGCTTCTGAGACTGCAGTTTATCTTGAGTTCATTGGGGGTTCCTTATTGTGAGTCCCTGGTAGCCCTTTGACAATGAAAGTGTTGTTATTCAAATGCACATAAATGTATTCAGCCCACAAAAATAGTATTCATGGCAATCTATAAATAGTTGAAGAAACAATTGTGTGAAATACTTGATATTCATCTGAACCAATTTTTTGCAATGTCACATTTAAATTCAGATTTCAGAGGATCTCCTAAGATATTCAAGTATTTTTGTTAAATTGCACAGATGGGAAAGTTTCAGTCTCATATATATATTTGTGTGTGTATAAATATACATGATATCTATATATTTTTATATATTTATAAGAAGCATAAGAGATACTGAGCCTGCGTGATACAATTATAAAGTATATCCTTATGTGTCATTAATGATTTTTCTCTTCTCTTTTTTCTAGATACACCATCAGTTAAGATCATACCATCCACTCCTTTTCCACAGGAAGGACAAGCATTAACTTTGACTTGCGAATCTAAAGGAAAACCACTGTAAGTGATTTAGTGACTGGTAAACTTTTCTCTCTTTCTTCAATCAGTATTTGATGAAAGGGTGTACCTGTAGGCATTTTTATTCTAACCTGTTCTTGTCAAACAATAGAACAGGCTCTTTGGTATTTACTCTTTTCTCCCTCAGATTTCTCTAAAATGAATGTGTGTGAATATAGAATACAAATACAGAGTACACAATCAAATGACCGGATGACAGGCAAAACGATATCTGAAATGCTTAGCGATAAAGGCAAATTTGCTCCAATGGAATACAGTAGTCCATTGGATAGCATGAACCATACCATCACTCCCTTCTAGTGGTAGAGATACTTTTCTGAGAGGAATAATGAATTTTGAAAGCTATGATATTGTTATGGTAAGGAATATGCATCATTTCCTTTAGGTATGATTCAGCAAGGGAAGCTCAATGGAGGTCTGGGATTCAATTATGTAGAAATAAACTTGAATGTGTAATATCGACGCTTGCACTAAAGACGATTCCAAAGTAAAATCATCTCTTATTTTATGGTACAACACAAAGTCTTGGGAAGTTTAACAAATGGAATAATCAATCTTTCTCAGAAGATTTTCACAGTTGTTCCCTGAGGATGCCGATGAATGGTACCTTGCAAACAGAAAGGGGAAATTAGAACATTTCTTTTTGATACAGGAAAGAAAATTTAATCTCAGAAATATGAACCAATTTTTGATTTATTCACATAGGATTAAGATTGGTGAGACAGGCCTTACTCACATTTTGGTTCTGTACAAAGCTTAGAGTCTTTCACCTACTAGCTGCTAGTTCAGCTGCTGAATCTAAATTTCCACTTCTGTGTAAATTCAAGAATGAGGTTCATGGTGATTTAATAACTGGAGATGAAGCCGTAGTCTTTAAGAGAGAGGAATGACCCAGGCTCTGGATAGTGTGACAGTAGTCATTCTAGTCAGGTTTACTTCTTTATTTAAACTTTTCTGATACTTGCCAATATACTACTTAAATGACATTTACAGCAAGAATTTATGCCCATATATTTTTTATTCCAAATCATGTAGCATCTTTGAATATTAATTATAGATTAATAATTGTTTAAAACAGTCATATTTTGCATTTATCCTTATGGGTTCTCAATGTTATAATGAATATAATATTATCATTTTATTAATAACTTATTTTGGTTTATTGGTCTGTATTATAGCCCTATCACCAGTGGTTCATATTTGTTTTGTTTTATAAGCTCCCAGGACATCAGCAGTACAGTTAGAGTCAAATTCCTTGATTTGTTCTTTGGTTTAGAATGCTTCTTTCTTTCTTCCTAAATCAGTTAAAAATCTACCTACTCCTCTCCATTTTCAAAGTATCATTTCCAATAATTGAAAGTGTTAACTTTTTAAAATGAATTGAACTTGAAGATCTCTTTAGTTCATAGTATATCCCCAAGAGTGTCATTTGAGACAGACAGAGCATATACCAGGGAAGACTGAAAGCAAACCACTTGATTTTCCCAGAAGGAAATCTTCATATTTATAAAGAGAATGGTCTTACTAAAGCACATAGAAGGATAGGGAATTGAGGAGGATTAATCAAGAAGTTCATCACTGGACAAAGAAGAGAATCACTTCTGGGACGGTCAGTCACTTCAGAAGATGATACATACAAAGCTGAAAAGAGACGATAAAAACATTTTAAAACAATTGCAAAGTAAGGAATAAATAATAATAAGGATAGTGCCTATATTTTAAGACAGATTTTAAAAAGTGAAAGTCTAAATAAGGAGTGTGGTATCACATGGACCCACTGGGCAGACTGAAATTGTGTCATTTATTCTGGTAATCACCACCAAAGTTCCACTCCATTACTTTGCAGCTATTACACCTGATTCCCCACTTTGTTATTTTGGCATCATTGAGAGGCAACACTATTGGCATAGCATTCAATTGTTACCCAGGACAGTAAATTTCTATTATCTTTCCTTCTTACCTGAGTCACTTCTAATGATCAAGTGGGGATCAAAAACATAAAACAGATAATAAATATATTTTCATCTCATAGGTGACCTGAACAGCACCCTTAAATCATGTCCAAATCTTTATTGTTCCTTCAAAATGCATGTTTGACCAACATATGATGTCTTAAAGAATGAGCAATTCATCATTATCAGGTGCATTGTTTCTGCTTAAATCACACCACTATCTGTGTTATAAATCATGAAACCATAGCATGGCTCAAATTGCAGTGAGATTCATGTTTGCAACCTGCTCTCCATAATGCTAATGCTGTTTTCCTTCTTCTAAATGTGAGGGCCCCAGTGACTGTTTATGAACAATCATGCCTTATTTGCCAGCTTTGGACAGGAGCCTTTTGCCATTTTCTTGTAGAACAGCTGCATAACTTGGGCAAGTACCAAATTGTTCCACTTGACATTACTATAGAGGCATTCTATTCTTTCCTTAAAAGAGAGATTACTGTACATGTCTATTGTTTTAATTTTTGTCTAAAGTGAGGACCAAGCTAATGTCAGCCACTTTTCTTTCTAGTCCCCAGAGTTTCTGCAACCCTTTTCTGTCTTTGGCTGAATTCCCAGACAGCTTTTAGGCAACACATTCTCCATTTATAAAAGTGGAAGAAGAACATACCCTTTATATTACATTAAAGTCGTGACCTTAGAAGATGTGGGGTGGCCCCTACATGCTGTGACAAGTGAATCAGCATTCATTTTGACCAAAGCTTAGCACATTGTGAATTTACTTTAAGGAAAGAGGAAGCAATGATACATTTTCCAGTGGAATAAGCGTGCATTTGGCATTTATTCTGTAAGAAGAAAGTAATTACAGGAGGTGATGAATTTTCCTGTATACACAACACAATGTTTGTATTGTAGTTACTATTTTACCATCTAGTAATTATAATTTTTCTTTTGTTTTTGGCAGAAATCTAGCATGCATAATTGCACAGAGATGCACATTGTATTCTGTGTAAGAAGAAAGATTTTAATCTTTAGAAAGACAGATCTTATGCCACTGAGCCCCTAGTGAGGTACTGAAAAGGAACAATTATATATACATTTTGGATATGATGAAAATTAAGGAAGAAATCGGATATGTACATACAAATGCATTCCCCCATGGACAGAATAGAATTATTTCTTCAAAAGACACAAAAGTTAAGGCAAAACAGTTTTATACCAGTCAGTTTCTTCAGACTAAAATGTGGACTTCTCTTACAAAACACAAATCACAAGTCATTTGCCAATTGTATGCAATCCAATTAGTGAAACTAAATTGCAAAATAAACTGGGAGTTAATGAAGGCAAGTTATCATCCAGAGTGAAATATTGTTCACCAAAATAGGGAAGATCTGATATTGATGTAACAGTATGAGTCTATTATCCCAGCAATTTCAAATCACCCTGTCTAATGTGTGAGATGTTATTAGCCAATATTTGTATTTCTCTTGCTAATCAGAAATGCTTCTAGCTAACCACCATGTCAGTATTAATGTTCAAATCGAATGTCTGTGGTATAGTACTCTGGGGTACAGTCACCATGGTGGTGTAGAAGTAGAAACTAAGGCTTGCACCCCAAATTATATTATCTATGATATTCACAGCATTAGTTCTCATGAATTAGATATTTAGCCACTCGGATTAGTTTGCATTTATAAGTTCATAAACTTTGATTTTAGAACTAGTTTAGATTCACAGATAAACTGAGCAAAAACTACAGAAAATTCCAATATGCCGCTGCCTTTCCACAGAGTGAGCATTATCTATTGCTCACATTAGTATTTAATTGAGCCACGTTGGTCAAACAATGGGGCAATACAGCCTGTCGTCCTGTAAAAGTTTCTCTCTTACTCTTGAGTATTTTTTAATCTCTAAAATTATGTAATGGCTATCTAATAGACCATTTTACCAATATTTACATATTTAGATATCAGATATATTAACCAGATATCTGATATTTAAATATAATATCAGATATTTGACAGGATTGAGTTTACATTACTGGTGTATAGTCACTTGAATACTTGGACTAATATCTGAATATGTAAATATAGGTAAAAAATTTTTGAATAATAAAATTCACATGATTTTTTCATATTTTCCTTTGATTTGTAATCTAGAATATTATTAAATTATAAAAATTTACTCAAATTAAAAATCTAATACAGTCACTTTATTTGTAAGGTACTTTTAAAAGTGTAATACTATGAAACTAGTCCCAAATTTCCATAATAAAGATATAGCCACATTCTGTCGTTCCTTTGTTGAAACCCATATGGTCCTTTGCTCCCATCTCATGGTTTTAAAATTTAATCACACATTTACTCTCTGGAAGCACACAAGTGGTTATCTTGGAAATGAGACTGAATATTTTGGTTTTGTTTGTAAAACACGAAGCTGACTCTGGGTAATCTCCACGGCTGTTATTTAGGCTGAGCATCTGTGGTGTGCTGGGCACTCAATCATTTTCAATTAAATGTTCCAGGGTCTTGTGAAAGTCCCTTCAGAGTCTACAGAACCATGGTTATGGACCCACAGAGAATTTTCACTTCTTGAGCATTTTCCAGAAAGCCAGGTTTCTTGCAGAAAAGCCTATTATTTTGAGAGATTATGTAAATGCTCAGGTGAAAATCCAACTCAGAGTGTCTCAATATTTAAGACACTGGAAAGAGACCATCATATTCATGGGTAAGACTTTCAAGCATTGTACCTGTCAGTTCATAGTATTTAAAATATCTCTCATGTATGAATATAGTAACTGTAGAAAGCACAATTTTTAATCTTTACATTAACATTATTATAGAATTTCAATGTGTGCTTCTGTAGTAACAGAATCATTAATGTGTTAATTTTAGCAAGATATCAGGAACAAAAATTATTCTTATTCTTATGATTACTAGAACATTAAAGAAAACAGGAGTCATTATGACTGTTCTTTACAGAATATGCTCATTTGTCCTTTGAAAAGTTCTAGGCAATAGTATTTTTTTCTCTCAA